GTGCTTTGTACTGGCTGCGGCTGCGGCGGCGGTGGTGGTGTTGGTGCCGATGAGCAGTGCCAACAGTTTCAACAAAGGTGGCAGTGGCATCGCCAATGATTACAACACACAGAAATAAGAGCGCAGCACGTTTGTTTTTGCAGTAGTAACAGCAACATCATTACTGATCATGATGCTACCAAACAAGTTGTGGCACGGAGTAGGGAACCATACCCATAGACCCCTAAAAACGGTGCAGATCCACATTTTTCTTGGTATACTGCCCGATATTCAGGTACCTGAGATAGTCCAGGTAGGCCCTAGGCCCCTGAACCGTCTGAGCTCCCCTGCCGTCCCTACGCCTGCCTTGTTTCTGGACGCGTGACTCGCCCGCTCTCAAGGGAGACTAGGAGCCCAGGAGTGAGTGGGGAGGTCTATAGTCACCCTTGAGTAGATAGAATATAGGCTTAGTGTTTAGGGTCTAGGGTTTTGGGGGTCTAGTCCCCCTTAAGTAGATAGAATATGGGGTGTATGGGGGTCCTATTATAAAAAATCCAAAGCCATATTCTATCTACTTAAGGAGATCTACTCGGAGGGTTCAGGGGACTTAGTAAGTAGCTTAATAAACCTTATAACCATTATGAACCGTAATCTCAGGTTCGTAGAGGAGGTTATGCAAGGGGTTCCGTAGGGGACTACTATAAGGGTTATAAAGGGGCATGCTACAAGTAGGACTATAGCCCACACGATAACCCTAGTTGACTTTTTATTAACGCACTTACTAAGTCTCCCAGGCCCCACCCTGAAAGTAGACCCACATGGATGTGGAGGCATCAAAAGGGGATTATGTGAGTCCCTATTTCGGATCACATAGGGAGGCAAACGATGCAGAGCTAAGGAAATGATTTGGGGTACAGAGCCCAGGGTTCTTGTGCGAGGGTGATCTAGGCTTAAGTATCTAGGTTCTTGGCTGGGGGACGTTGATACTTGTGGTTCCAGAGGTATTCTGGAAATTCTCTCTTGAACCATCTGGGTTGTCTGCTTGGATTCTAGGCCCGTCCGAATTTGGAAGTACTCGCAAACGAAATGTAGTGGTAGTAGCCAGGCTTCGTTGAAAAGATCTTTAGGGTGAAACCTTGCATTCTTTGAGATGTACGCAGGAGGCTAGTGCTGCACCGTGTTTAATGTATATACCCCCGGCCCCACTTAAAACAAGGCCCCAGAAAAGCAGAACATTGGCGTCTTAAATACGGCTCCCACAGTAGTGAGGGCTCTGGTAAAGGGGATGTGATGTATCCTGCACGGGCCCCAAAACCAAACACGCCAAACGTGGTCTTCACACAATGGCCGAAACGGAATAGAGCACAGTCAAAGTCTAGGATTTAGTGTGTCTTCATGAAAGGAAATCAGCTCTGAATGTCCGGAGCACTTCAGGCACGATCCATTCTTCAGCCTACGTCCTCCCGCGGAAGCAGTAACCGTCCCTGTATCAGTTAGCTGGAAATCTTGCAAAAGTTGTGTAAGTATTCTTGAAATTTCCTGGTTTTAGAGCGTGGGCAATCACTCTACTTTTCTTAATTCGGGGGATGAACAATCAGATACACCAGAAGGGTAAGAAGGAGAATGTCGTAAATCTCAAGCTTTTCGGGTGGAAATCTCTGGATTTTCTTTTGGTGTGTTTTTATAGGGGGCTCTACCTGGCACATCCCTATCTACAGGTTCGCATTTTTCATTTTCTATTTCCAAAGACCCCAGCTTAAGGTTCAAGATTAAGGCTAAGAACACCTTCAACTTGAAGGCTAAACCGTTTGTAGTTCAAACCTAGCTTTCTGGTGCTTAGGAGGGAATGAACCTTGGGGTGTACTGTCAGCTCTGACTCCACTCTGTGGGCGACACGCGTCCGGGCGGCGTTGGATCGTGCAAATTTGCTAAGCAGCCAGGCGCTTTATGGTTTAGGATTGGTACCTATCAGTCAAAGCCCCAAATTATCCCAGCTTCCATTTCATCTACCCTGTTCTTTTCCACGTGAGTCTATACTGCTGCTATTTGCGGAGATTGCTGGCAGTTGTGGCAAGTTATGTTTCAGGGTTGGGGTCGTTTCGCCTGCTTCACTGGCTGCCGGCCCAAATTTCACGTGCTCTCTTCCTGGTGGAGGCCTAACGATGATGATCTTGGGGCGCTAGCAGAAGCGAGACAGAATGCCAACATGTAAGTAGATCATACATGCAGCGCTTTCAGCACCCTAAGCCCTAAGTATACAGGCAACCACCAGGTCATTCGACTTGGAGTTGGGTTTTCCGTCTCCATGTGGGTGTTGATCAAAACTGGGCGGTGTTGATCAAAACTGGGCCTTAATGGCTTTAAGATTTAGAGTTCTAAGGATTCAAAAAGGGCCCATGGTTTTGAGAGGCTCCCCTGTGAGCTTTAGGACTTAGGCTGTTCGGCTTTTGCGCAGGCCACTGCACACGCTAACGTACTCGAAAGGGGCCTTTCGGGCTTGACAAGGTCTTCCAGTGAATTGAAATTTTGAGCGCGCGTCTATAATGCAGAAGCTCAATGCTAAGGTACCATTTTTTGGTCTTTAGATGCCTAGTCGAATTCTGAGATAAGGCAACACAAGCAGACCTCAACATGATATTCATAATTATCCAAGCCGCTACATTTACACAATCTTTGCGAAACGCTATCAAAACCCAGTTTCCTCACATTTCCGATTTTCTTGTTCATTTGATTGATGATCCATTTTGCGGCGATCGCCCCTAAGCCCTCAACCCTAAACGACGATCTCCCTCCCTACCCCGTTCCTAATATTCAAGAATCCGACCTTGAACCAGTATTGAGGGTGCTGCCCCCCGTCTGTAACAATTGGATAATATTTATATTCTAATTATAGTCCAAAACTCTTGAAAGGGGGCTGTATACGGGAGTGTATAGGGGAGTTCTATAGGGGGGTTGTATAGGGGATTATATAGGGGAGCTCTATAGGGCTTGTTAAGACGCATACTAGGAATTTAGATTATAGCTCATAGAGTTAGATACAGCCCTTAATATGACACCCAACCAGTATTTAATCTCAGGAGGGGACATCCATCGAAAGCATTAGATAGGGCTGTCTCTAAAACACCGTTGTGAACTCCTTTCAATTGAAATCTACTTCGAAAACCAACTGAAACCAGTTGAAGTCTAATAAAGAACTAATGAGAGCCAATTAAAACTAAAGTAAGCTTCCGTCCAAATTCCATCTAGGACTAATTGAAATCTGATTGACAACCAATTGCAATCTACTGAAAACCTACTTAAAACCAATCAGCATTTTTTTGGGAATCAATCACAGTCCAGTTAAAATCCAACACCAGTTGACATCCAATTTAGATCTAGTTGGCATTATCTGAAATCTACGAAGCAGCTACGTGAGAACCACCCTACTTTAATGTCTATTTCTATAGATCTAAAAATCATTCAAGCCTATCTAAAACCCAAGCAAATAGATTCAACAGCTAATGAAAATGGATTGAAACCCAAGAAAGAACTAATGAAATTACACACTAAGCAATCAGTTAAAATCCAGTTAGTGAGAATCCATCCAAAGCCAAAATTGATGCCCAAATAAAATCCAGCTGAAAGTCATTTCAGATCCAAGTAGAATCTACTTCTAACCAAGCAAGATTTAGTCAACTTCAGTTGCTTAAAATCAACCATTCAATTTTTCAGGTCTAATTGAATTGAAACCAATTGAAATCTGATTGAAACCCATTAAAATCTAATTCATATCTACTCTAGAAACGAATACAGTTGTATCACGACCGATTAAACATCGCATTCCGATAATTAGTGGGAAGTGATTCGTAATACTTCCCCAACGCCGACAAAATCCCTGTATAATCCCTATATCCCTCCGTAGTATGCACCTATTGTTTGGTGGCACAAGGAGTCCGAGATGCAAATTTAGGCTGGGGACTATCAGGTTGCGAGACATCCATCCTTTTCACTCAGGGAAAGGATCGGGTTTAGGGAGAGTCTAGGGTTTAAGGTTTAGGGGTACTCTAGGCAGATTCCGAGGCACCCTGGGAGAGATAGAAGGTTGAGCTCAGTACTTTGTGAGGCTACAATTGGGCTCCGGGTAGCTTCCCCGGAGTGTAAGAACAGAAAGGAAGGCAAATGCTCGACTCTAGAAGTGTCTATCCTTCCACAAACGAACATAACAACGCATGCTATAGGTTCTTTGCTTAGAACCTTAGGAGGTGATTGTTTCGGGCCACTGTGGGCGCGCAAGCAAGAGCTTTTACCGACTGGCATTGCCATGAGGCTGCCAGACTGCTTCCTTTCAGATGTGGCGAAGCCATTCGAAGGAGACAGCGCTCAAACTACAATCAGAGGATTGCGGCAATTGACATGATGGCGACGTACAAAATTGCCGCGCATTGTGTGTGTGTGTGTGTGTGTGTCAGGCGTCTTCACGCGTCCAGTGTTCAAGCAAAAAGGAATAGGGCAAACTCCGTTCTTAGGGGCAAGTGGCTAAGACCGCCTAGCCATTGAAACATTCATTCGGGAAACGCAGCATTGGCTTAGCGTTTATAAGGCTTTGGGTTTCGAAGGTATGCTGGCAGCCCAGACAACATGCTGGGCATCAGGTTCAAATTCTGTGGAGGCATGTCAGGAAGGGACCGGACGTACCAACCGCATGTCACACTTCGAGCTTCAAGCGATGCCTAATAGTCCCCAAGCACCTTGGGGTGTTCTCCAGGCTGGGGGGGGAGGTTGAAGCCACAACCAATCTTTGATCATTCCTTGCCGCTGTGTATGTGAGAGAGAGGGCTCAACAATAATTACATAGCCTGCCGTGCCCTCTCCCCGCCATGCTGACAACTCCAGCTAGCCTCCACCTTAGGGTTTTGGGGTTTACTCCCAGTCCCGCTATGTATCCAAGATAGCAGTGATTGCGTATTTTAAGTCTCAGAGTCCCCGAGTCCTCCGACAAAGAAGGCCCGAAATCTCTGGAAACCTCCAAGCTGCACCTGGAGGCTGTGCAGCTTTGATGATCCAACTTTTGCGGACCACGGCAGATGAGGCCTCATCTTCCACACATCCAATCCGCGATCCTTTGGGTCTTTGGTAGAATTACCTCAGAGAACCTCTGACCGGGATCCATAGTGTCACCTTATGGCCCCAATATCTTTGCGCATTGCTTTTGGAGTGTCTCGAAGTACGCCCGTCTTTATCCGGGCTGTAGGCGCCCCCATAGCGCCCTCGGAATCCCCATGCGTTCTCAGCGTTAGTGTTTTGGGGCCCTTTATATGGAGAAATTCTCGATTGGGATGATCGAATCCAGCCTCTATGGTCCGTTTGAGTCATTCCCTGGCCGATCCCAAGCTTTTGAACTTTTGAACTTTTGAACTGTAGAATCCTCAGGGGAATTGCAACTATCCCTTTGCTATCTCCATATTATCCCTACAGGCTCCCTGAGGACTGCCTTTTTCGAAAGAACCCCACCCACCCCTAAACCCTAAACGCCACCCCCTGAGTCGCTAGAGTACTTCCTTGTGAAAGCCAGAACTTCGCTCGAAGCCCCTGGGCTTGGAAGTGACCCTGTTGCCCTGGCGAACCTTACGAGTGTATGGGGGTTGACGAAACCGAGGCGTCCTTGATTTGGAGTGAACACAATAAGTATTGTAGTATTTTAGGAACTACCATGTAGGGATATAATAATAGTAATAATAATGAGATTCTCTGGTGGCCCCTATCCGGGTTATTGTGTTAGGATTGTATTGGGCAACTCCACGCTCCACACCTTCATGGAATAATTGATTCCCAAGTTCGGCGACTTGGCCTGAACCCACTGCGCTCAATGCTGCCGATCCTAAACTCGAAGGCCGTCCGTTCAGAACCATGGTGTAAGCCTCCTATCCCGAGCCTTATAACTTTAAAGCCGCCCAGCCTAAATATGTAGATCCCCAAACACAATTCCATGGACCTTCGACCCTCGTCTGTAAAACATGAAAATCTTCAGCCTCATAAGTTGCCAGCCCCCAAGCCCCAAATTTGTTTTTTTCCAGAAAACGGAGACCCCAATATACTGGAATCCTTTCTACACGGCCCTTCAAAAGGTATGCCTGATTTTGGAACCCCTCGCTTAAACTTTACTTTTGATTGAAACCGCAGCTCGTAAGGCCTGAAGCCTAAGCCATCTGCTTAAAACCTTGAATGGTAGTTTCCCACATTTAGGTGTATTTTTGGAGGTGCCCTATAATTATCGCTTTCGTCTTTCGAGGTCTATACTGGGGTCCGCCTAGAAAGGGAAACGACCAAATCCCTGAGCACTCATCCCTAAACCTAAACCCCAATCCCTAAACCCTAATCCCTTAACCTTAAAACCCGAAACCCTAAGCCCTAAACCCTAATACCCTAAATCCTAATCCCTAAACCCTAGGTCCTAATCCCTAAACGCTTATCCCTAAACCCTCATCTTAAAACAAACCCTAAACCCTCATTCCTAAACCCTAAAACCCTAAAACCTAAACCCTAACTCGTAAACCGTAAGCCCTCAAACCCTAAAACGCTAAACCCTAAATCCTAACTCCTTAACACCCTAAACCTGGAGGAGACTCAGAGATCCGCGGCCCGAGGGGCGGCATCCCTGGCAAAGCGCACCGTCTTGCAGTTGGGAAGTTTCCCAGAAGGGTTTAGGGCTTAGGGTTCGGGGGTTTCGGAGTTGGGGGTTTAGGGAGTTGGGGGTTCAGGGTTTGGTGGTTTAGAGTTTGGCGGTTTAGGAGTTGGGGGTTTAGGGTTTGGGAGTTTAGAGGTTTGGGGTTTAAGGTTTGAGGGTTTAGAGTTTTTGGGGGGTTTAGGGGTTTGGGGGTCTAGGGGTTATGCAAGCTGCCTGCAGACCATCCCAGCGGGGAGCACGTTAAGATGCCTAGCGCGAAATCACATAGCAAAGGGCTGATTCCAAATTCAGGCATTGCGCCGGGTTGAGGGGTTTAGGTGTTTAAGGGATCAAAGTTTCAGAAACCGTGGGAGTTTTCAAGGCCTGCCTGTCCAGTGGAGAACCTTTAACAATGTTGGGCAATGTGAAGCCCAATGTACACCAAAAGAGAATACCTTGGATGAGCCCTAGACTAGACATCGGACACTTAAGGGAAATTGCAGGATCCCAGTTGAGACTGCTTGTAAGAAGGGAGTTATGCTTGATGTTTGGTGTGTACTGCTCAAGAGAAAGGCTGTCTCTGTGGCCCGTACCTGTAACCTCAGTTACCTACAGTTTTCTGAGTTATACCTACTAACTTAAGGGCAATTGCTTTTGAGTTGTAGGTATTTGGGACCGTAAATCCTAAACCCAAAACCTTTTCACGCTCAAATCCCTCAGCAAAACTCTCGGTTTTTGGGGGACAGCCCGGGACTTGGGTTTAAGGTTGAGGGCTTACTTGGAAGGTCAGGGAGACTTAGCAAGTACGATAAAAACCCTGTAATTAACCCATGTAGTAACCCTGGTGATCCTTATTTTTAACTTACGAAGTCCCCCTGACCCTCCATGGAGTGTTGAAATGCAAGCGGCAGGTCGTAGAGTTTTACCAGGCGTGAGCGCGCAAGCGTGATGCAAAAGGGGTGTTGACATGATAGTTTGCCTGAATAGGGAGACTTCCCAAAACTCTAATATAGACACCAAAATGTTGTAATCCTGGTTATAGCTACCCCCAAAATGGTACCCCTACTTTTGGGAAGCCTGTAAATCTTTTCGTATCAGCCCAGGAGAGGGGCATTGGCGGTCTTGCCACAGCTCGGCGAGGCAGCCTCGGCCTACCCCAGGGCGGTCCCCGTGTAGATCTACAGCCCCCCTTAAGGAATAGGGTTTAAGGTTTAGGGTTTAGGGTTCAAGGTTTAGGGTTTAGGGTTTAGGGGTGTGTATTTATAGTTCTGGCTTTGGGTATATTATAATAAGATCCCCATATACCCCATATTCTATCTACTTCAGGATAAGTTCCTAGGCCCTCCATCTGCCCTCTACTTGCCTTAAATAGGGACCATATACCCCTATTTAAAGGGTAGAAGGATGGTCATGGCTTGTACTCGAACTTCGAAAGTTTTTAAGATAATGGCCTAAAACCCACTGAAACAGACAGCATGGCCAGTATTCTAAAAACCTGGGGTTCAGGTAAGGGCTTACAGATGAGCGCCCTGGTTCTGGGTTTCAGGAGGCAGCAGGGTCGCAATGGCCCAGAGTGCCAGGTAAGAGTGGAGGAAAACAAGAAACCTATGGGGTATGTCCTGTTTACCATGTCAGTAGTTCCTAGGGCGCCAGTTACCGGAATAATCAGTTCTGGGTTCTACACACTCTATACGCCCTATGGCTGACGCTGCCCTTTCCTGGACCCTCCCCAGAAGCATGGTCGAAACCAAGTTCATCTGTGCCTAAACCCTAAACCTTAAACCTTAAACCCTCCACCATAACAGACCCTTAAGGACGGGAATCCTAGAAGGTGCCGATTCACAGATCCCACACATGGTCGGCTGGCGGGCCCAAAAGTTCTGTCCAAATCATATGGGTGGTTGTCAAAAGTATGGTCCCTTTTTGGATCCCTATTATAATACGGCACCTACTATTAGGGTACCCCAAAAAGGGCCATAGTTTTGACAACCACCCATTTTTTAGGAGCAAACCCACTTTTCCCAGAATTTTCAGTATCAATATCCAGACCTTCTGACTTCACAGAGTTGGTAGACCAGCCCCTATGGCATTTCTCGATGAAACTCGTAAACCTCAGCAGCCAAAGACAAAGTCCCCGAGAAGATCCAGATGACAATCTCCTAGTCTCAACTTGGAGGGTCAGGGGGAATGGCGAAGAAAATGGAAGCTACTATGCTATTCAGGGCTTGGGGTTTAGGGTCAGGGGGACTTAGTAAGGAACGGAAAAGAAAATGGAAGCTGCTATGTGAGTTGGGGTTCAGGATTCAGGGTTCAGGGGTTTAGGGTCAGGGGGACTTCGTAGGTAGGTTAATAACCATATATATATATATCTACAATTACAGTAAAATTAAACCCCAGTATTCCGAACTATCCTACTTACAAAGTCCCCCTGACCCTCAGACTTCATATTTCGCAAGCCCCTCACAAGCACAAAGAAGACACACCTAAGAGTCAAATGCTGTTGCGACTTGGGATGAAAACTGGCACCCTGCAGCGTAATACTCCGACAGCCCACACACTACTCCACAGAATATCCAGCCCAAACCCTAAGCCTCTTATAAATATTCAGTATACTCCCATACTAACCTAATCCATTCGAACGTTCTCTATCGCCCGCGTTACCCCAGGGGCTGGCATGGGCATGGGCAGCTAAGACTTGTCCGTTTTAGGGCTTAGGGTTTGTAATTCCGGGGTTGGGGTCTAGGGGTGTATCTAGACTTCAACCCCCTAACCTGAACCCTAAACCGTAAACCCTACACCCTAAACCCTAAACAAAGCCGTCAACCCCTACAAGCTCTAAGCCCTTCATTCCCAACCGACCCCGCAGCCCCAACGAAGGCTGCCACCGTAGACGCCATCCTCCGAGCACTTCAAACGGGTCTGGACTGGCGAGCTGTTCTTGGATTTGGTGTTTCGGGTTATTTCGGCTTTATACGGGGTTTATAGGGCGCATTTATAAACACACATACATATGCACATAAATATGTGGGCATGTGGGGGAGGTTGTACAGAATTTTATAGAGGAATGGAGAAGAACGTAGAATTTACTAAAGGGTTTTTCCGTTAAGGATGCCAATGGGGAAGTAGGGAAGCGGACATCTATGATAGAGAGTGAGTCGGAACGGTACCGGGACAATGACATGGAAACTGGGTTTATGCAAAGGCTTATAGGATTCAGGATTGGAGTAAGCGCCATAATTTTCGCCATGTGGTTCAGAATGAACCACCTCTTTCCTTCCCTTACCTTCAGCGCCAGTTTCTTCAGGGTGTAGGAGTTTATCGTCAAGCTTCTCTCCTGGAGCTTGGAAACAGCCAAGAAAGAGGCCTCTAGCACTTGGGCCCCGGGGTTGAGGCATGCAGGGGTGTATGCGTAGGGTTCAGCATGTATGTGTCCCGTGAGCGACTTCCGGGCATGCGGGCAAACGAGGTGAGGCGTGCAGGATTTCATGATTCAGGTTCAGGGTTTCTAAATTTCTTTGAGCTCCATGGTGAGTTATGAGAGCTGTGACAGTTACCCTCAAATGAGATATAAGTTCAGTCTAAATATCACTGTCCTACATATAGCGCAAATCTAACTACCCCTCATATCCGAACAAGCGTTAAGTACGCGATTCAAAATAGATCAGACAGATGGTATGCGGAGCGTGTGCGAGGATAACTACCGAGTATATAGGGGGTTCTGTACTGGGATCATGTATGGACTCTGCATAGTCATCTTGTATGGCGTCCGTTTCGGAAAGCTTGCTTTGCCAAACTAAAAGCAGCCTACCTCCCAAAACCGTTTCAGGGTCGTATCTACTGCTAAAGGCCCCAGAACTTTGAAAGCTTCAAAAGCGGGTACAAGGAGCAGGAACTATTGAAAACCTCAAAAAAAACCCCAACAGCCACAAGCTGCAACATCGAAAAGGTTTTGCACAATGTGTGCCTAGACCAGAGCTTTACATTAAGGATCTAGGGCCAAGGTTTGGGGTGCATATAGGGATATAGGGCTTCTTGGTTTACACTTTGAATTAAGGGGGGAGGGCCCCGGGGGAGGGGGGGAGTGTCGACAGATTGGGGTTCTGACGGCGGCTGAGCCACTGGCAATCGATGGATGGGGGGTCCCGCAGATAAACTGTCCAGTTTTGGGATTATTCTGGGTTTAGGCTTTAGTGTTTCTAGGGTAGAATGCGGGGGTGATTGGCTATGTTTTGCATTTTTTCATGGAACTCCTTGGGCGCCCGTGATTTCCTTAGGGATAAATATCTCTAGAAAGAATACCTACATTAGGGCCTGAAGTCTATGAATAATACCTACTTTGGGTTATTTGCATGCATAAGCGATCGCTTGATAACCTTCTTAGACCCTAGACCTAGAACATACTTCTTTCCCCTAGAAACGAACGTCTCCCCCGCCTCCCCCTCTCCTCTCCCCTTCTTATCAAATCCACCATCGGAGCATTCATCTCAGGTGGCTTTTCAGTAAAAAAAGTTGAACGGATCTAATTACATCTACTTAAATTCGACAAACCTAATTAGCATCAGTTACAATTGAAGTAGTGGTCCATCCACATCAGTTGAAATCTTATTAAGCGCAAATTGGAAACCTGTTCGAAATCCAGGTAAAACCGGTTGAATTGAAATACAAGGTCGTATTGAAAATTAAGCAACATCTATTCAACATGTAATTGAAAGCATTCAAAACCTTATCAAATCAAAATAAAACCGGTGAAAATCTTATCAACATCTGCCTGCAATCTGTTTAAATGCAGTTAGGGAATCAACTGACATCTCAGTATAACCCAATTCAAAGCGAGTCAAAATCACAACAAAATCAAATAGGATCGCATTCAGATTGTATTTTATACATCCCTGAACAAGAACGATACAAAACTAGGAAATCAAGGGATCCTTAATTTCTTGGGACTCCTTCTTGTACTTTCCTAATGACCTCGGACCCCCCGTCTTCAAAGTAGTCCGGGCTATTCTAAAGAAGTCTTCCGGGAATTGTTGGAATTTGGGCTTCTCTGGGAGGAGTATCTGTTCTTAGGAGGCTCATTACAGGGGGAAAGGATTACATCATTACTGCGTTTGCTCGCAGGAAAGCGGATCATTGGGTACAGTGCGTGCAACGGTGGACTTCCTTGAGGAGGCCCCTGCCCGTGTGCTGTACTGTAGGGGCCCAGAGAGAGAGAAAGAGAAAGCTACGGGTAACGACCAGAGTACGCGCAGTATGTCGAGCTTCCTGGGTGCTGACCAAGACGCCTGGACAGCTCCAGAGGGATTGGGGGGACTCCCCAGAGGGGCAGTAGTGCTCCCTTCAGCCCGTAGAAGAAGAAGAAGAAGAGAGAGAGAGAGAGAGAGAAAGCATGCTCACTCCTAAGGAAACTGTGTAGTTGTTTGGTTTCAGTCGCATGTGTGAAGGATTTTGGATCAGTTATTGGGGCAGTTCCGATTTGGGCAATGAAGTGGCAGTCCTGGGATGTTTCACAGCTCGCTGGAGTAGGGAGGGGTTCATTCCGTGTCCCAAGACGTTTGTGGTGTCCGTGTGTACGATGCAACTAGTTGGGAATGGTTGGAAGTGTTGGGGAATGGAAGGCATCGTATCCCCGACCGCGCAGACAGGAACGATGGGCTAGGGGGCTTAGACTGCAAGCTCTGTAGGTACTACGCGTAGGCCGTAGCAGAAGTAGAAAGAAAAGAATGTGGAGAGAAAGAGGGGGAGAGAGAGAGAGAGGGAGAGAGAAAGAGAGAGAAAGAGAGAGAGAAAAAAAGAGAGAGAGAGAGAGAGAGAGGGAGAGAGCGGGTATAGGGTCAGCACAGAGTCTAGGGGATATCTGGGGAAATGCAAAGAATTATATATGTATGTATATGTGTACATATATATATAGAGATTATAGTGGGTTGTGTAAGGACTATAGGGATATTACCCCAATAGCGGGAAACAAAATTCAAAAGAGCGTGAATTACTAAATGAGAACTGGGTTGATATAGAGGTTTACAGGGGTTGTAGAGAAGGGAAGCTGAGATAGTTTGGGTTTACTTGAGGTACCCTATACCATAATTCTACAAGGAATCTAGGACCACAATATGGTTACGCATTTGGGCTTCTACAGTTGGTTGGGGCGCCCTGGATGCACATCAAGCTCTATGTTCTGTTCTTGAATTGAGAAGCCAGAGATATACCCCCAGGGGCAAGACCCGGTAGCCTACAGAAAAAGGAGCGGCAGGGTAGGTGTATCCCAAAATTCTGTGGATACCTAATGTATTCAAGGCCCTTGCAGAAGGAACCCCTGATGTTCTGCATCTCACACTAAACCCTACACCGTGAACCCAAAAACCTAAACCCTGTATTTGCTTTCGAAGGATCCTGTAGGTTTCTTCAGGCGTTAGGGACCCTGACTTGGGGAGATGGTGAGTGCGGTGGTGAGCGCTTGAGACGTCTTGACTGATGTTTAGCTTATAGTCTCCCTTATGAAATATGGCTTTGGGTATATTATAATAAGATCCCCCTATACCCCATATTCTATCTACTTAAGGGGGACTATAATAGTTTCATCAGGAAAGATGCATGGAGTCTGCCACCTTTAGGTGCTGGGTCCTAGACCTTAGAAGCCTTAAAAACCGCTTAAGCCTGAGACATTAAGCCGCAGAGGTGCAATGCGGTCTTCAGCACTGTCCCGCAAAGGCACCTTGGATATGCTTGAGATGCACCCCCCCACCCTGTAGTAGTGGTACAGTAGGAATATAGGAGGACCTTAATATGATTACCATTATCCCTTGTAGTCACTCTTACTGGGTGGAGGGTCCACCCAAGATATGCTCCAAACTGGCAGCTTGTTGTGAGGTCTTCCAGATCACAGTTTCCTCCTAGGGTTGAGGGTTGATGGTTGGATACCTCCTGGTATGGTCCTCGCCGATTGAAAAACACGGTCAGCGTAGTAGAAAAGTGTTGTTTCTTGGTCTAGGCCGCCACCATGTAGTGATGCTGTTGATGCTGAGGATGCGTGGCCCAGGGTGTACTATAGTAATTACCATAGAGGGTACTGAGGGTCATGCAGCGTTTTAGCATCAACTGTAAGACTTTGGAATCGATGGTTTGAAGCTTGGGCTCCATTTCACATACGCATTCACGACGTTGAATAGGTCATGCTTGCCGAATTCGCGAAAGTTGGAACTATTGCGCAGCCATAAACGCCAGGATTTGTTACTTTTTCTAACTGAAACCTGTAAACCCGTGACGATAACTGTGTCAATCTGCAAATCCTAAACCCTAGGCCCCGCGCCCTATGGATCCCACAATCTTAACTCAAAACACTCAACTTGGCCTAGCAGTTGGAGAGCAGCCACAGATCTAATAAGATAATGGAGAGGCCTTCACATTACCCCTATACTCTCCTATATAGCTTCAAGGAGTTTAGACTATATCCCTATATAACGCCTATATAGCCCCTATGGTAATGAACTTTATTGGTTGGATGGCAGTACCCAACACGCAAGCTCTAACCCTGCAACTTCGAGTTCTGGGTCAAGGGTTTAGGGTTTTGGGGCTCAACCCTTGGCCTAACCCCTGTGAATCTTCATCTCGGAATGCCATCCCCTTCGCATAGATCCGCCACTCTAACCAGACAAGACAAACCCTAAAGCCAAAGCTCTGAGCCACTCAAGTACGTGTAGCACTGTGATCGCATGAATGTTGGGGCACACGACTACAACAGTATACGATCTACACTCCCCCAAACTAACATGGAAACCCATCTAGCCCCTTTCTAGAGGGACTATAGTCTTTATAGGGCCCTTTTGGGGTTTCCATGTTAGTTTCCGGGAGGGTAGTTGTTTAGATGGCGGAACTGTCCTTTAGTCTAAAGAGAGGAGTCTCCATTCAGCCGTAGGCTGTTAGCTTGCACGCCTTAAGCCCCTCCAGCCCCAAGGCTGAGACGCCTGGGCTTAGAATTTAGGGATTAGGGTTCAGGGTTTTGGGCTTAGGGGTTTAGGGGTTATGATTGAGTTCTACATGATGCAGCTTGAACACTTCTCATCGGGCCAAGTCTTCGAATCGTGCGTTCTTCCCCCCAAGCCCCCAAGCGCTGCACCCCTAACCTCATAAACCCTAGACCCTATGGTCGCCCTTAAGTAGATAGAATATGGGGTATATGGGGATCTTATCATAACATACCCAAAGCCATATTCTATCTAATTAAGGGGGACTATAGACCCTAAGCCCAAACGAATTAACCCCCCACACACCCGACATATACAACCTGTGAGGTCCCCAAATGCCGACAAACTCCTGTTTTCCAACCCCACCCAAAAACGCACACTGCTCCGAACTTACATGGAACCGCATATAGACCACTTTTAGAAGGGCGTCGTCAATGAACGCGAAATCCAAAACCCTAAGTCCTAAACCCTGAACCCTTAACCTTAGACCTTAATCCTAAATGCTAAATCCTAGACCCTAAACCCTAAATCCTAAACCCTAAATCCTACACTCTAAACCCTAGAGTCTGTTTAGGCTTCCTTCTCAGGTTCCTTCTTAGTTTGGAGCCGTATAAGTATACCCTAAACCCTGTACAGCTACATGGGGCTTTCCCAAATCATAGGGTTACCTTTAAAGGTTATATAGGGGTTCTATAGGGGGATATATAGTGTCGGGGTTAGCCAAAATTAGGGATACCGTTTTAGGGATCTCTACAAGAAAGATCATCGAATTTCAGAGGCTATATTGAGTTTTTTTATACTGGGAAACTACCATATATCCCTATCTACCCCTATAACCCTAAACCCCTAGCCCAAAACCCTAGAACCCTAAACCGCGTTTGTGAAGGTTCCGTGTTAGCCTAGGGGAGAGTACCAGACTCAGGCGGCTGGAGCTGGCCGTTCACTCTTGGAGGTTTGGGGAAAGTTCTGCGCTTAGGGGTTAGGGGTTTAGGGGCTTTGTTTCTTAAATTTCCTGAAGGTTTGTGTTTAGCTTCTAGTGTTTTAGGGTGTTGGGTTGGAGCCTCTTATCATTTAACATGCAAGTCCAAAAGGGGTAGAAAGGGGTTCTACAAAGAACGCTGTGGTTTTCAAGGGGGCCTATCTGATCTATGTGAGCTTCCATGTTGGATTTGGGGTTTGCTGTTCAGGCTCTGAGGTTCAGGGTGTGCGGCACCTTCCCCTGATATTTCAGAAGCAAGTGGGCAATTTCGTTGCGCATGAACTTGGCATTTGGATCCGCACGCTCTTAACTTGAACCGCGTGGTCATATGGGGATGGCCTTCCCCCTTGAACCCCCCAGCGCTCAGACATTTCCAATCCGCTAGCATGATATATCTCCCCCAGCGCTCAGACATTTCCAATCCGGTAGCATGATCTATCTGGTGGAAGTGTACAACTGGGGTGGGGGGAATTTTATGGGTACGGAGAGGTGAGTCAGACCTACATTTGTTCCAGACCTGTTCTTTATTGTGCAAAAGTTTTCCTGATTTTCTCTGATAACCCTGCTAAACATTGACAAGTAGAGTGGCGCAAGCACTGATTGCAATGAGGTATTGTCTTTGCCAAACTGGGTAAGCAACGCTCGCGGACCCCTGAAAAGATCTATCCATATTCCCGAAAACTCTAAACTCTAAACCCTAACCCCGTAAACCCTAAACCCTACACCGCACCCCTTAGGGTCTCCCAGGTAGAAACATAAACCCCTATATGACCTCAATAGTATTGTATTCTAACCCCTATATGACCTCAATATTGCTATATTACCCCTATGTTGAGGTCATACCTTTCAAACCTTGGCAGTCTTCTACTGTAGCTCACGATGGCTTTCTGGCAGGTAATTCTGTCAGGGTTTGGGGTGACTGCTTTTGATATAGGATTTATGCTTATGGGTTTAATTTCCTTATTCCCTACTAAGGCTTTCAAGCCCTTGGACCAAAGATCCTTGTGCAGGACGTGAGCCGAACCTGCCCCGACATCGCAGTGGTGAATAAGGCAGCGTCTCAACACCAACCGCGTGAAGCCTCTGCCCGTGCTGTGTGTGACCCTGTGACCTACGCGTGCAAAACATACAACATGTAAAGCTACGTAAGAGAACCTAAGACTCCAAGTATTCGACAATCATATACTTGCCCAAAAACTGTGGCGAGTGGGCCCAACATTAGCCCAGATTCTGTTCCGTGGTGCAGAGAAGACTTTTTGCGCAAAGCCGTTTGTGAAGCCACAGTGCAAGGCGTGATCCATGAAAGCGCAGTTTAGGGTTTAGGGGGTTCTTGGGCGACTGTTGTAAGTTCATGTAAGTTCCTTAGCAGTAGCCCAGAGTGGAGTCAGGGCGAGATGAGAACCTAGCAGGTGAAGCGCATCCTTCAAACGCTGCAGTCGGAAGAGGCTCGATTGTGGGTTGCCGCAGGGGTCGGCCCTTACAATTCTGTACATGTGTGATTACGTAGACAGCGAAAAGATTCAACCGATAGTTTAAAGCAATTAGTGAAAATGCATGTGTGTATCTATAGGCGGACAACGAACTTTGACTTAGTGTCATACATTTCTATACACGCACATGCTCATGTTTGAAGTTCTGTTTATTTCGGATTTAAGGTGTGCAACAGCCTGCATTGACAGCAGGCTCGAGGGTATAGCCCCCGTTAAGTAGATAGAATATGGGGTAAAATGGGGTATGTGGAGATCTTTGTATCATGTTTCCAAAGCCATATTCTATCTACTTAAGGGGGATTATAAGTTTCGCCATGTCTACCCAACTCGCGACAGGCCTTTGAACAAGTATGGTCCCAAATGGAGAGTAAGACGCTAACCTCCTTTTGTCGATAGCACGTTACTGGGAGATGGGTCAACCACAAAAGTACCGCTCAAATTAAATTGCAAGACCCATATGGGCCCCATCTGAATGGACATTAGGCTCGGCTTCCATATTAGTTTTTTGAGGAGGGTCTTTGTGCGCAACGTTAATTGAGGTTTTTAAGGACACCTCATAGCCCTGCCAAGCGACTGGAACACCAGCGGTCTCTTCTGCACTGTGGTGTTTCTCAGCTTAAACATTGAAACCTATAAGCCCTTAACCTGATTTCCGAGACCAAAACCCTTCACGCTAAAGGTTTGGGTTTAGGGTTGGGGGGTTGGGGTCCAAAGCCACAAAACCCGAACTTCCACCTAAGAATCTTAGCTTGCCAGTCAGGTATCTCGTCCCTGAGGCATCGCAGGTCGACCCTCACCCAAACTAACATGGCCCCCCTACAGTTTCCTGGTCTTGTAAAGGGGGCGGTAGTCCACAGAAAGCCCAATACCCCTTCATCACGGAATATACCTTAAGTTATATTAAGGGTCCTTTTATAATTTAGGATATATTCCTTAATTAAGCTATGTTGGGCTCCCTTGGTCTACAAGGGACCCCATTTTCAGGTGCCATGTTAGTTTGGGGGGAGGCCATGTGGAACAAGCTCCGGAGCTGAAATCACATGGGCACATACCAAAAGTATGGCTTGTGGAGACAGCATTGTACCCCTTGATAAGGAAATGTGCGAAAAATCTGACCAGAGATCCTCATAGAACTTAGGGTATACACTTCCATTAAGAAGCTTGCCCTTTGGGATGTTTTGGGTTGAGGGATCCGGGTTTTAGGGTTTAGCGGCCTAAGGTTTCGGGATCGCGCCTAGGGTTCGGGAATGCCAACAATCTGTATTTATGGGGTGGTAACTAGCACTAGTTTTAGCATGCGCATGGTAGATCGGCTGGAAGTGCTTTGTTGACTTTGCGACTTGTTATGCCCCACCCTCACCTTGGAGGTATCGGATTGTAAGAAGTCTATGTTTCCTCGCTCTCCATGCAGTGCCCAACCGCAGAGTGTCCAAGCGCCGAGTATCCCTGGCGTGCCCAACCATTGAGTATTCATGCAGTTCCCAACCCTCGACGAACCACTGCAACCACTACGCAGTATCAGTGCAGTGCCCAATGGCAGACAGAGTGTCCCTCGAGTGCCCAACTGCAGAGTGTCCCCTGCAGCGCCCAACCGCAGAATATCTTTGCAGTGCCCAACCGCAGCATATTTCTGAAGCGTCTAACCGCCGAGTGTCCTTCACGTGCCCAACCCAACCTAATCTGCTCCCCTAGACCCTAAACCCTAAACCCTAGATGGTAGTTCCATTTTCTTTTCCATTATCCCTATTCAACCTCCAAAATACCCTTTATACCCTTTCCCAATCTCTCGCTGCAGTGCCCAACTTTGGGGTATCCCTGGAGTACCCGCCCCAGGGTTTAGGTTTCTTTTGGGGTAATACTGGGATAATGGAAAAGAAAATGGAAACTATAGCGATTCTAGGGATTATATTATATAGGGACTATAGGGAATATATTGGGGCAATGTTGGGATACTGGAAAAGATGGAAACTACTACCTATAGTCATAAAGGGATTATATACATATATACGCGGGATATATTGGGATAATGGAAAGATAATGGAAACTATTATATAATGGGGTCATACAGAACATCACAGAAGACACCTCACCACCCCAGCGGAAGTGCTCGGAATGCACTTTGGTTATGTCTGCAGGCTGGCACAACGTTTTGTTTAGGGTTTAGGGTTGGTGTTTAGGGTTTAGGGATTAAATTGCTGATACATGTTTCAAGTTGTTGCTGGAAATAGATCATCATGCCAGCAAACCAAACTGGTAAGGGTGGGGATCGTAGCTCCCACGTCTTCTATGTCGTATGCATTTGGGGGGTGAGTAGTGCATACTGCTATGAACTCCTTGCGTACACGTGGGGATCTTCCTGTGAATCCGAGCTACTTGCACGGATGGATTCCTTCACTAGATTCACTAGATGATCGGCCTTCGCTTGGCGCGGAGTTCATGCTCAAACTAGTTTTCTCCTAAGCTTCTTGCACTTAGTCTGGCAGCGAAATTCCCATTCCCAACCATGTGACCTTTCCAGCAAAAAAAGTGTTCTGTGGGATGCTTGTAGGCAGTCCTGTCATATGTCCTCTTCAATCATTTGAATCAGGGGTCTTAGTTCAGATGTATACGTTCGACCAAAGCCGAAACTTGATGTAGCCACCAGCAATCCTACACTTTCCCGCTATGGCCCCTGGAATTCTCTGTGCAAGGGGCCCTATACTTAGTTCAGCCCCCAAAAGGATCCTGTGTAACAGGCTTGGGAGCTTTGATAGGTGAGTTGCTGCTTTGTTGCTGAAGATTCAAGCCTCCCGCGCATTGAGAGCGCTAACATCTCGAGTTAAGGAGTCAGTGGGGCTCCGTATGTACACCAGGCAAAATGATGGAGGACTGAGGGTATTAAGGGGCTTGTAGGGGTTATAAGTATACGTACCATGAGTTGATAGTTCTGCACGACAACCCCAAGCGGAGCGTGAAGCACGAAAATAAAAGCGTTCCCAGCTGGAGGATTTCCTTGTAGCAGGCAAGAGGCAAATTGAAAGAGCCCTGCAGCTTGTTTGGTCGGTTTCAAGTTTGGAAATTACGATCGATGGACAAAATCTTGCATGACCCTCTCTACACCCGAACCATTGGAAGACTGAAGTACGATGCTATGGTTTGAGCAAATTATCTACAACGACCCCACCCGAGCTCACCTTAAATGGTGGTTTGCGTGGAAAGTGTCCCAATCAGTGTAATCTCAGTTTCTGACATTGTTATAAATCGGTCAGTGTAGTATACCGTGGATCATCCAGGAACCCATCTTCAAGCTATACACTGGCATCTATGTGAACGATTCGTTTTAAGTTTGAAAAACCCTTTACAGATGCCATAGCTTGTTGGGGACTGGAAGTTGGTGTAAAGGGACCTTACTGGGAACCCCAAACCGGGAACCCCAAGAATATAGTAGGTATATAATAGGAATATACCTACCAGGGTCCTTATGTTCCATTATNNATTCCTGCTATATTCTTGTGGTTCCCTGTTTGGGGTTCCCAGTAGGGTCCCTTTATGGTGGAGTAGTTTGGGACAGAGAGCCTGTCCTTCCAGAACCTACCTGGACCCTGGATGTCCGCCTGGCTGTGCAGTGCTTACTTGCAAAGCACTGTAAGTAAAACTCTATGGGCTTAGTGTATACTGTACTATAACCCTAGTATCCTATTATAGTTAACGTAGTATAACATACTATAATATACTAGAATATACTGTATGTAGGATTTGGAGTTATTCGGAATTTAAGGTGTAGGGTCTCTACCCCCAAGCCTCAAAGGCTTCAACAAATGCAGTGGAGGCCTGAAACACTTCTGCCAGCAGTCTTCGACGAAGGAGCTGCGGCGGCTTCAGTCTCGCTGATGTTTTGTTTAGGGTTTTTTGGTCTAGGGTTTAGGGTTGAGAGGGCAGCGTTTAAATCATCATCCTCATCAAAGACACCTCCTGCAATGTGGAGGCATTCCTGCTTGATAGCTTTGGCTGACGTACCGTAGATCTGTGCACAAGACAAAACTGTTTGTAACGGCATGGCTTAGGGATGCGCATCGTGAAAAAGATACATGCAACAGGCAGGGTTGGTCATGTCCAGTGCTTAGAAAGAACCCTGACCGAACTTCTCGGTCCTCCAAAATACCTCTGCCTCAACCCTTTCTGCGCAGAAGGTCGTAGTACTGCTTTTCCAAAACCAACGAAGACCTACGGGTGCAGTGTATAGCATCATTGCAGTGTTGGGCGGGGTTTGGTAGTAAACGCTTGCGGGCCCGTCTGGGGCAGATGCGAACAGATAGCATGTTGGTTGAGACGCCCCCGATCCCTATCTGAGCTACAGGCTATAGTCTAAACTTTTTAAGGGGTGTCTGATGGGGTATTATATAGGGGAGTATTATTGGGCTTATGCTTGGACAGCTGCTTCTGCAAGGATGTCCCAGCACGGGCTTGAGCACGTATTGTCGACAACCCATCGCACTCGTTCACATCGGCTTTTCCGGGGGACAAGTGAGTGGGTCAGCCAAGCTACGCGTCAAATTCGCCCCCCCACTTGCTCACACGCATGGGGTTCAGAGGTTTAGGGTGACGGTAGCAATTCCTGCCAAAACAGCATCTGTCCTCGCATTAGTTGAAGCCTCCTATGAAGGCCTTGTTCCAGCCCAGGGAATTCCCAAGGCTGGATACCAGGAATCTTAACTTAAGCTGCCATAATGTAGACAAGTTGTGTATGTAGATAACAACATAGCTTTTTTGAGTTCCTGAACTGATTCTCTCGCTAAGACCCTCATCCGATTATGGGATTCTAGACTGAATCCGAAATCAGATCCAAGTAGGTATAGGGTTTAAAATTCTATCTGGTAGTTTCCCTAAGTTGGGCACCCCAACAAAGACTCCAAAATATTAATCCTTACTTTATAGGGAGGGGAACATAGGATCCCAGAATCTTGCCGTTGATCTAA